GTTGAATGATCCCCAAAGGTCCATATATAAAGGTTTGGTCCCCAGGGTGACACTACTGGGAGGCGGTAGAAACATTAGGTAAAGCCTAATGGGAAGTCCTTAGCTCACAGGGGACAGCGGACACTCATTCACCTCCACTGGGTTGAAATGCGATCACTTGCTCTTAAAGGCCCTCCCACCACTGCCACATGGGGTCTTCAACTGGATGCCCAAATCCATGGGGCTACCTGATCTTGGACTTGAATTTTTAAAACTGTGAGCTAAATAAACCATTTTTTCGGGGCTGGGGTTATGGCTCAGCAGTAGAGCACTTGCCTTGCACGTGTGAGGCACTGGGTTCAGTCTTCAGCACCACATTAAAAAAATAAATAAATAAACAAAACTAAAGGTATTGTATCCATCTACAAATATATGTGTGTGTACACAAACACACACACACACCATTTTTCTTTACTAAGTTAGATGCTGCATGTATTTCATTAGAGTAAAACAAAGCTAATACAAAATGGTAGAAATATCCTGCCAGCCACAAACACAACAACTTGTAAGAGAAATGGGTTCTGCTACAATGAAAGGTCCTTTTGCTCCAGCAGGGCACCTGGAAGGATCGGGGCTGAGGTTGGAGGTGAGGGCTTGAGTGGCCTAAATGGCTGTGCAGAGTAGAGAGAACATGGAATTCAGGTGTAAAGGGCAGGAGGTGTAGGAAAGGAACAGGAAGAGGGAGAGGGAGACCCACTGAGATGCTAGGAGAGTAAGCAGCCACCCTAGAACACACTTCCAGAGCTCGTGGCAAGGGGTTATGTTTGGTCTTCCTTGGGATGTCTAAGTTCACCCTGAAGTTGTTTGGATTTCAGCTGCAGGAACCGTCTGCAGCCCTCTGGCATCTCTGATAAAGGCCACGCATTCAAACTACCTTCTAAATGTGGGTTTCCCACAGCAACTAGGAAGGGACTGAGCTTCTATCTGGGTCAGAAACAGAAACACAGGACCATGGCTTGAATGGGCTAGTTTGTGGGGGTGAGCAGTTGGGGGCAGCAGCAGTGAGAAGATAAACTTAAAAAAAAAAAATAGTTGCCAAGGAACTTGTGGAAATCCTGGGTAAGCCTTTTAGAAGGTGAAATTTGGAAATTTTCAGTTCTTTTTATCTTATGGTGTTGAGATATTGTAGCTGATAGCTAGGGTTCAACAGGAAGGAAAAGCCAAAAAAAAAAAAGAAAAAGAAAGAAAGAAAGGAAAGAGGAGGAAAGGAGGAAGGAGGAGAGGTGCCTCTCCCACCCTTAGCCTCTCTGGTGAGAGGCATACCTTGCCCTACTGTGCTCCACAGGTCATTGTGTTTTTAAAATAATTATTTCATTTTATTTTTGATTAGCATGTATTAATTGTACGTATCAGTGGGGTTTGGTGTGCTATTTCCACACATGCCTACAGCATGCACAGATCAAATCCAACTTCCCTTTATTCATCCCCTCAACATCCACCTCACCCTTTCCAACCGCTATGAATCACTGCTCTATATTCAGGTTGACTTTATTTTTAGCTTTCGTATAGGAGAGAGACAATGTGGTACTTGTTCTGTTTCTGGCTTATTTCACTTAACATCGTGCCCTCCAATTCCATCCATTTTGTTGAAAATGACAGGATTGCATTCTTGGTGTCTGAATAACACTCCATTGTGTGCACAGTTTCTTCATCTATTCATCTCCTGATGGACTGGTGGGCTGATTCTGTATCTTAGCCATTGTGAATCGTGCTGCAATAAATGTGGGCGTGCAGTTATCTCTTTGGTAGACCAATGTCATTTCCTTTGGATATATACCCAGAAGTGCAATAGGTGGATCATATGCTAGATCTATTTTTAGTTTTTATGTAGAACCTCAACACTGTTCTCCATGATGGCTATACTAATGTACACTCCCACCAACAGTGTCTGAGAGTTTGTTTTTTTCCACATACTTGCCAGCATTAAAAAAAAAAATTATTAGCATTCTAGCTGGGTTGAGAGTCTCATGTTAGTTTTAATTTTCATTCCCTGATGGCATTTTTTCCATACATTTGTTGCCCATTCATATTTTTTCTTCTGAGAAAAGTCTATTCAGATCATTTGCCCATTTTAAAATCAGATTTCCTGTTCTTTGTTGTTGTTACTAATTGCATGGTAAATTTGTTGCAATCCATACAACACATTTCACGGTTATCAATTGAAGGTTTGTGGAAACTCTGCATCCAGCTAGTCTGTCGGTGCCATTTTCTCAAAAGCATTGCTCTCACTTCATGCCTTTGCATCACATTTTGGTAATTCTTGCAACATGTCAAATTTTTTCATTATTATTATATGTGTTATGGTGATCTGTGGTCTTTGATATTACTGCTGTCATTATCAAAATAATAACATCATCAGCTTGGGCAAAGCTGATTCCAATCCTTGTGGTTGATTTTGAGGGATTCAAGAACTCAGTGGAGGAAGTAACTTCAGAGGTGGTAGAAATTGCAAGGGAACTAGAATGAAGAGTGGAACCTGACAGAGTGACTGAATTGGTCAATCTCATGACAAAAATATAACGAATGAGGAGTTGCTTCTGTGGATGAACCAAGAAAATGGTTTCCTGGGATAGCATCTACTCCTGGTGAAGACCACGTGAACATTGTGGAAATGACCAGAAAGGATTTAGAAAACTACACAAGCTTCCATAATAAAGCATGGTCAGGATTTGAAAGGATGCCTCCAGTTTTAAAAGAAGTTCTACTGCAGGCAAAATACTATCAAATGGCATCACATGCTACAGAGAACTATTTCATGAAAGGAGGAATCAATCCATACAACAAATTTCACAGTTGTCTTATTTTAAAACATTGCCAGAGTCATCCCAACCTTCAGCAACCACCATCTTGACCAGTCTGCAGCTCAGCATTGAGGTGAGATTCTCCATCAGCAAACAGATCATTACAACTTGCTGAAAGCTCAGATGATTGTTAGCATTTTTTTTAATCAATAAAGTATATTTTTTCCTGTTACTGTCTTTATCTTTTTTCCACATTCTTATCAGTGCCTTATAGATGGAAAATATGTTTAAATTAAGTACGCCTAATGGACATTTTTAAAACATAATGCTATTATTGCACACTTAATAAAGTATATGTAACTTTTATGCATACCGGGAAATTGAAAATCTAGCTCAACCAATTGTATTGCAATTTGTTCACTTTACTGTGGTAGTTTGGAACTGAACCTGCATCGCCGCCACGGTGTGCCTGTACAAACCCTGCAGAGAGTCAACAGTGGAGGGAAACAGAGTGAGCAGGTATCAGTGTAGAGTTTAGGGAGAGGGGCAGAAGTTCCCATGAAAGAGCTCGGTCTTGGACTGTGCTTGAAGGATGGATCTACTACTTCAAAGAAGTTTTTCTTCAATATGTAATTCTATGTATGTACAGTTACTTGCAAATTACTTTTCTAATTTATTCTCTTATTGGGATGGGTTATTCTCTTCTTGGGGATTGAGAGTGGGCTTTGGCTCTAAAATGAAACAGGGCAGACTAAATCCTGGCTCTTGGACTTATCAGCTGTGTGGCTTTAGGCAAGTTACTCAAGGTCTCTGAGACTCAATGTCTTCATTAATAAACTGGAGATAATAAAAAATAACCATCTTATAGAATTGCTGAAGATGTAAATAAAATAATCAAAGAAAGGGGCTTTGCATAGGCCTGGCATAAGAGAAATACTTAATAATAATCCGTGGTGTCCACTTTTTTATGTAAATTTATTGACTATGACTTGGAAAATAGGTTTTCCTCTATCAGTGATTTTACACACAAAGAAGAAAACCACAGTTAACATGTTGGAGTCTATCTTCCCAGTTTTCAGTCAATGCATAATTTAGGTGGCTTCCCCACCCCCTTTTGTATTGCCAGTCATTTTGAATATAAAATTTAAATCTTAATTTTCATTTAGTTAGTGTAAGAATTCTTTCCATCTTATTGTGATTTCTTCAGAAAAATTTTAATGACGTCAATGCATTAAATCGAGTTGGTGTATTATAATTTACTTAATCATTCTCCTATTGTTAGACATTTATATGGATTCCAATTTTATTCCTCTATTCTAAATAGCTTAGTAATAAACAAATCTGTACATAAACTTTTCCTTTATTATGTATTATTTCTTGAGAACTGATTCCCAGACATTAAATCACTGATGTAGAAGGTAGGAACAGTTTGTGATCCTACTTGTTGCCCAAATAATTCTGAGGCCTGTGAAGGAGGGGATTCCACCTCCAGACCCCTCCCTCACGCCTTTCATCTTCCCAAGACGAGGAGGAGGAAGAAGCAGAGTATGATTAACCAGAGGGGCGGGCACTCACTGGGTCGCCTCTGCCAGTGGGTAGGTCACTGGGCAGAAAGAAATCAGAGAAGGGCATCTGCGTCTTATTTCTGCTAACTTGTTGAATGCGGTCTGAGGGGAAAGCTGGCCCAGAGCATGAACTGCTGGAGGAAGCCTGGACACTCCTTGTGCTCCTTCTCCTCCCACGGGGCAGGCAGGCCTGGGACCCTCACTGGCCTGGGCTGCCTGAGGTCTAAGAGCCAGAGGTGCTTTCTGTCCAGGTCTCTTCCTCTGAGGCTGCATTCCCAGCACAGGTGAATGCGCATGGTGCCGTCTTTCCCTGCAAGAGGGTCTCCCCAAGGCTCCGGTGTAGGGAGAGGGCTGCTCCAGGGGCTCAGGGGCAACTGTGCAGAACATTTTCATGTACAGAATTTTGCTTTGAGGGAGGGGCCAGCTAATGATGTTCCCCTTGGATTTTGCCTCCCTTCGGCACTGCCTGGGGAGGTTTCTTCTTTTGTAAATTAGAGATTAATGATAAAAAGTCTCATGGGGGATTAAGGGACTCCCACCCTCTCTGGCTCCCTTGTCCTAAATTCTCTGAATTGTTAGTGAAAGAAGAGTTGGTAAATATTTGACAACTGGCTTAGTTAACAACTGGCTCTCCAGGAAAGAAGGAAAGGAAGAAAGGAAACAAGAAAAAAAGGCCCTGAGTTGTAGCGTTGGGAAATTTCCGGGCACTACTGATTCCCACCATGGTTTTAGAGCAAATGCTTCTACCAGGACAGATTTCAAGGTCCAGCCACTTAATAACCAGTTTACAAAATTCCTGACATTTAGCAATAGTCTCTTGCAAGCAAGAGGGAGCCCTCTCTCGCACACTAAGGGTGAAAAACCGCGGGATGGGATGATTCACTCATTTCATCAACGTGGGGTAAGAGCAGGGGCACAGACAATGACCTCCGCAAGGTGGGGAACCAGAGAAACTAAAGCCCGCAGGGTTCTCTCTGGAGACCAATCCCATGCTTTTTCCTGCTACAGATCCGCTCTCTCCATGTTTCAAGAGACGTGGCTGCAGGAAGCTTCCAGAGCTACCTCCTCACTGATTCACAGCCAGAGAAAAAGGAAGCCTTCAGAGCAGGAGAGAAATCCCCAGCGCAGCCCGGTCAGTCGTTAATCGTGCATCACTTTCCCCTTGGAGCAGAAGGTGGGTGCACTGCCTGAGGATGGCGGGGTCTGTCGGATGGGGGCCGGAAGAACTGTGGTCAGACCAAACCAGTACTTCCCCTTACGCTGCTGACCATCTGGGTGCCACAAGGACACTCCTCCCATTTCTACTAGTCTTCAAAGTGGCTGAATCAATGACAGAACAGAGGAGCTACTTCACATTACGTATTTTGGCATTATATTTTATAGCTTAAGAAAACTCAGCTAATTTTATAGGTAAAAAAGTAACCCACTGATATTTTAAGTGCTTCTATTTTTTTTATGCGGCAAGTGGGTTAGCAATATGCTATGTGTTACATAATCATTATTTTGTCTTCTGTGAATTATGTTCTTGTCTTTTGCTCACTTATCTTCTGGAGTTGGAAGTTAGTTTTTAATTTCTTCACTCAGCAAATATTTACTTGTCTGCTGTACTAGGCCAAGCCTCTGTAGACACAAGAAATAAATAAGATAGAGAGTGTTCCCATCTTCAGAGTACTTACCCTCTATTTGTATGGCCTTTTAAAATAATAATATATGATCTTTTTTGTCATATGTACAACAAATAATTTTCCTGTGTGCTTTCTGTCATCTTCAATATAGCAGTTTACATTTTTTTATGTAAAGTCTGATCTACTTTCCTTTTTTTTTTTTTTGGATACTGGGGATTGAATGTAGAAGTGCTTTACCACTGAGCTACATTCCTCAGCCCTTTTTATGTTTTTGAGACAGGTTCTCACTAAGTTGCTTAGGGCCTTACTAAGTTGCTGAGGCTGGCCTCGAACTTGTGATCCTCCTGCCTCAGACTCCTAAGCTACTGGTATTTCCTTTCCCCTTTTAACAACCTTTTTCCTCATTCTTAGAGATTCCATTTTCCCATCAACAATTTAAGAAATGATTTATTTATTTCTGGCTTTCCCTGGCATGATACTTTTACATTCAATTATTTTATTAATTTGTAATTTAGCACAGTGTTTAGCATGAGCAGAGTATTTACACTGGTTATTTCTCCAAATGTTTAACACTTCCTGCAGCCTTCCCTTCTCCTTGGATCTGTGTAGATGACAACAAAAAGAACTGTGATCAATGGGGACATGAGAAGAGGTATGTCAGGGTTTGGCAAAGGGCAGCTGTTATAGCTCTGCTTAGGGAATTTGGTATGGGAAATGGTGTGGATTGGGTTTGTCTGGAATATGGGGTCCCTACAGTGTAGTGACTCTTAACCAAGGTTGGGGAAACCTGTCAAACGGGGAGCTTTAAGAGATCCTCTCGCCTGGGCCCTACCATTAGTAGGTCTCCTATTAAGACAGAGGTTTGTCTGTTTTTAAAGTTCCTGTTATCCCAGTGACTCATGAGGCTGAGGCAGAAGAATCATAGTTTTGAGAACAGTCTCAGCAATTTAGCAAGACCCTGTCTCAAAATAAAAATAAAATGGGATGGGAATATAGCTCGGTGGTAAAGTGCCCCTGGGTTCAATCTCCACTATACACACACACATACACACACACACACACCCAGGCACCTGATACAGGAAATTATGGGAGATAAATTGTGTTAGACAAGGAGGGGAGCAGAAAGAGAGAGGCATCAAGGCCAAGGTGAACTTAGCTACAGGTTCAGGAGGCCTCTGGAGGATCTCAAGAGTGTGGATGTGGACCCAGGCAGGTAGGCTTCAATCTCATTTTTACCCCTTGCAAACTGTATTCTGGGCAGATTGCTGGTTCTCTTCCATTTCCTCTTTTAAAAATTTTTTCCTCTTTTTTTTTTTGGTTTTAAACAAACTTATAATATTTACCTAACAGGTTTGTGATGAGTCAATGGGAAACCAGCACCTGTCATCTGCGTGAATTCTCCCCTCTTCTTCTCCAGTGAGCCTTTGGCCCACGCCAGCCCTGCCTCCTCGCTGCCTTCATGATGAACGCACACAAGATATTTTCAAAGAAAACATGCCAATACAGGCCCAGATGAGAAACAGAGAGAAAATCGAGTTGTCCTTGAGTCCCAGAGAGCTTCAAAGGGGCTGCACCTTTTCAAAGAGGGACGTTTCTGCCTTAGAGAAATGGTGAGGAGCTCGACATTCACACAGGCCTTCCTTCAGAGCCTGGTTGCTCGGCAAAGGCAAAGTCCGGCTCCACCCTGGTGCACCTCAGCTGGGCCACAAACATCATCCCAGCCCCCCGGGTTGCTTAACCCACGAACCAAGGCAGCAGTTGTGAATAGGATGCAGCCACAGCTCTTTTCATAAAAGAGAATTCCTCCAGCAAGTTTGTTTACAGAGCAAAGATTCTCCCTCCTGGAGGGTGGGAAACAGCATCCCTTTTTGGAGGATCCAACTGCTTTACCTTCATGTCACTGATATCCATTCTGGGATTTGACAAATATTTATTGATATCTCCTCTGTTTGACAAGTCCTTTGGAACTGGCCTCTACAGGGTAATCATTTAAAATTGATTTTCATGCTGCCTTATATTATAAATTGATGGCAAATATTTATTTTGTGATTAGGTGCTCATCAGTATTCCTTGGAGGCCACCCACCCAGGAGGCAGTGTGGCTTGGCGAAGGGAGAGGGGATGTAGAATCAGACACATGTGGTCTGACTCTTGACGGGTCTAGATGTGTGACGTTGGATGGACAGCTCAGACACTCTGGGCCTCAGTCTTACTTTTCTCTGAGAACATCTTTCTAACTCGAAAGCCAGTGCTCTCTTCCTCAAAGAGCCCCTTTCGGTTGGGTGGACAGGAGGCAAGAGTTCATTGATCCTGGCAGACAGGAGTTGGCACAGTTTCAGAGGAACAGAGAGGAAGACTCCAGCAGGCCCAACCCGAGAGGGTGTGTTTGGGAATGAGAGTTAACACTGGGTTGGTGAAAGAAAAGTGTTTCTGTGTGGCACATGGATCACACCCCAAAAGCCCAGGTTGTAGGATAGGGGTTTTGGAAGCCCCTGGATGATGGTGGGGCTTGAATAAAAGCCTCCTATCAATAGAGTGCTAGCCTGCTTGTCCTTCACTGGACATTAGAGAAAATAACCAATAGAAAGATGGTGTTTTTCTTGCTTGAAGAAAGAACAAGGGGACCTGGGCTTATTCAAACAAGAAGAGCTTAAGTTAAAAGGTAATATTGGCTTCTTCGCTTGAGAAAGCCACAGAATTATCCTGTGTCGCCAAAGAGTCCCCTTTCTAGGGGACCTGAAGTCTCCTGGCTGGCAGAGGCTCAGAGGGGGTTCATTAGTGGCTCTCATTGTCTCCTACATACTGGATGAGTCTCCTGAACTCCCCAGACATGCTTGCTGGGTTGGAAGCTTCCTGGAGAGCTTTAGCTCATTTGTCCCGTCCCCGCTCCTACGCAGACACCTTTCAGAGGCTCATCTCAGATATCTGAGTTTCAAACAGCAGGCGCCTAATCCTGGTCACCATGTCCTAGGTGATATTCCAAAGCTGATGAGCATCCTGGGCCCAGAACCCAGGCACTTTCCCTGCCCCTGCTAGACATGGCCAGTAAATGAAGGGGCCCCAGGAACAGATCAGAAGTTACAGTCCAAACTCCTGGACTCCCTATCTTTTTGAAGATTGAGGAATCCAATCAAAGGGATATAATGGTGCATCTACGTACAATAGTGGTGTCACTTTAAGACCTACGGATTTCCAGAGCAAAGGCCAACCTAAGGAAACAAGTCTCTGATGCAGGTGAACTTCAAGGACAACCAGGTATTAATGGTTAGGGACAATGACCTGTGCAGGACAGCAAGCCCCAGTTCTTCTAGTAGTTACTAGTTACTGGCTCTTACTAGGTTCCAGGTCTTGGTGCTATGAGAGACACAGTGAGGATAATTGACAATCACAATAGTAACAGCCACATGTGCTGAGAGCTAGGCGCTGGGCATTGGGCTCATTTAATCTTTTATTCAATAAATAGAAGGGGCTCCACAGAGTACTTGCTAGATGAATTGCTCATTGACATCCACTGCGCACCTCCTTTCCCTTCTCGGGAAGGGACTTTGCTTTTGCTCTTTTCTCTGCCAAGAGGCTCTTCTGCTCCCTCCCTTCTTTCAGGTCTTTTACTCATGTGTCACCTCAGTGAGGTGTCCTTGACCTGCATCTCAACCCCATACCCTTCAGATCCTCCCCCCCATGTCCCCTCCCCCACCCAGCCCCTGATACTACTTAGCATACTGCTTTTGACTAATGGCTATTGTCCGGGCTGGGCTCTGCTAATCTCAGAGCTCAATGAGGACAGGACTTTGGACCACTTTGTTCACTCCTGAGATCCCTTGTGTAGGTCACATGCTTGAATTTGTTCAGTGTTTGAATTGAATGAAAGAAATATTTTCCTAGTGTCAATGATATACCCCAGATAACAATGTGCAGCAAGGTAGCACAGTGGATAAGCAGACAAGGTGTTGCCAACTGAAGGCCCGAGGCCTGGGAGAGATACGATATTAAGCTAATTATGCAATAATCTCCATTCTCCTGAAACAGAACACTCTGGGTGCTTGACTTTATCTTTCACTGAAGCCTCACTAGAACCCCAGGTCGTGGGTACCATAATTCCCAAATTATAGAGCCTATCTTTGCTTTTTCTATGGCTACAAATACCCACATAGGTTCTAAATTACAAAAGGACTGGACTGACTTAGTTGGCACACAGTAAAGATAACTGTGCAACTTATAGCTCTGATGGCCTTTGGATGTTTATTATTTCCCATGAATCCTGTGAAGTGTTCATGCTACTTCTACAGGGGTTAGATAACTTAACCAGAGCCACATACATAGTAAGTCTTCTAGATAGGATCAAACCCAGTCTGTATGCTTACCACTCTTCCTCATTCTAAAGAACTTTGAGGTGGAGGGACTAAGTGGGGGATGGAGAGGTCATCCAGGACTATATTATAATAGGAGGCAGTTGGGACTTTGATGTTGGAGGCTGGGAAGAAGACCTGGAACAAAGAACAAAGGCTTGCAGGTAGCCGTGGGGCAGGGAGCGGTAGGCCTAAGGGAGGCCTGCTCCTCCAACCCCACCCTACTCCTGGTTTGATTCTAATGAGGAGATAGGGCAGATAACCAGCAAGGCAGGGCCAGGATGAAAATCTTTTCTGGGAAGTATAGCCCTCCAGTTACCTCTCCATCTCATTAACTTAGGATTGGATCATCTCCATACACCCCTTCTGATTTTTTTTGGTTACATTAGCAAAATGTATTTATACTGTTATCTGAGCCTCTCATAAAATGTTGCATTTTTCACCAGATACCTCTAGTACTAAACTCTCAAATCTTTGAGCCTTTCTCAACATCCTCTTAGGTACCCTGACAGAGTGGTGCAGAGAATTGGCATAGCATTCTAAGTCATGTACTGTCATATCCATTCTTTCCCCACCCCCAAATTCACACCGAAGTCCTCTAGTACCTCATAATGTGACTGCATTTGGAAACAGTCTTTAAAGAGGTGATTAAGTTTAAAGGAGGCTGTAGGGTGAGTCCCGATGCAACCTGACTGGTGTCCTTTTAAGAAGAGGAAATTTGGACACCTAGGGAGATGTGAGATCACGTGAAGGCACAGAAAGGTGACTATTCATTTACAAGCCAGAGAAAGAGGCCTCGAAAGAAATTAAACCTGCTGACCCCTTGATTTTGGACTTTTGGCCTCCAGAAATGTGAGAAAATAAATATCCATTGTTCCAGCTCAGTGCTCATTTGGTGGTATTTTGTTATAGAAGCTTGAGAAAATGAATACACCATCCATCTATTTGTCCTTCTGCCCATCTGTTCGTCCGTCCATCCATCCATCCATCATATGCTGAGTGCCTCCTACTGTCCAGGCAAACTACCTTGCACTGGAGATAAAAAGGGAACAGATCAGTCTTCTGCCCTGAAACTTCTATTGTGGAGAACAGTAAACAACTAGTCTATTAGAATGGTGAGTTCTACAGCCTAGGAGCTGGAGGTGTAGCAGGGATGGGTACCTTATCCAGGTTGGGAGGAAAGGCAGGAAAAAGATCAAGGAAGCTGAGTTCCTCATGGGAGGGTAAATTAGGGCAACTGCAGGGAAGCTGGGTCTGGCTAAACACAGAGGAGGAAGGGATTAGAGAGAGCAACCAGGCTAGAGAGAGGAAAGAGAAGGAGCCAGATTTGGAGGGATTTTAAAAAAATGTTTCGCTAGGGCAGAGGCTCTTATAATTTCTTTTCCTGCCTACAGCACCCCTAAGGAGTGAAATACTTCCACCCAGAGCACGGTAAGAGGAGCCCTTGCAAAGGTGAATTGATTGAGGAAGGCTGGGATGTGGCTCCTCCCCTCCCTTCCCAACTAGACATTCCCACTGCTTCTGAAGTACCTGGGGTTTACCTGGGGTTTACTTACCCTTCAGGCCCTCTGTCCTCCTCTGTCTGTACATTTGTATGCCAGCTCAGAGAGTGAGTTTTAGGCTCAATTGCCTAGATTCTAGCCTGTTCTGCAATTCTTAAGTAGTGTCCCCTTGGACAAGTGGTCCAGTGTCATGGGCACTGGATATGTGCTGCTGTGGTGCCTACACCAGAGACTCACTGAAATGAGAGGAGGTAATGAAGGTAAAACTCCTGGCACGGTGCCTGGCATTCAGCAAGCGATCAGTAAATACCAAAGACCACAGGGCGTGTGTCACTGAAGCTCTCTTGCAGCCCAGCAGTGGCAGCAATCATCCTGCTCACTGTCATAGATGTCATCACTGCCACCACTGTCACCATCCCATCACCACCATCTTACCATCGAATCACCCCCACCGTTGCCACCATCATCACTGCCATTGTCATCGTTCCCAAGATCATAGTGCTGGAGCTCTTGGAGGCCATACTCATTGAGTTCCTTCCTTCCACTGTCCTCCCTCTTGGATGTCTTATGAAAGGGAAGGCCCTATGTAGACAAGTTTTAATAATGTGATATTTGTAACATTTTTTGAGCACTAGGCATCATTCTATGCCGCAGTCTGGCTGGGCACAAATGCCGCAGTCTGGCTGGGCACACAATCACGAGCCACCACACAGCTTGTAGATTCAAACAGCAACTCTTTATTCCCGAACTCACACCAGCCGTCTACAATCACGTTCTGGGGAAATCCATGTTCTCTGCCCAAATCCACGTTCTCTGCCCAAATCCACCTCCACTGGGCTTCTATCTCCAAAATATATTGTCTAAATCCCGTGAGAACTCAAGGGGAACTCAGGCAGCAGGATATGCCCTATTCCCAGCAGGAATAATCTTAAACCTTAAACCTGGAACCTAAACCGGGAACGCCCTAAACACTATTATCTTAAAACCGGGAACACCCTAATCTGCCTTGGTCCTTGAGCAAGGTCACTTACATTCAATGTCACTGCAACATGGGGTACGCTGGCAAGGAAATTGTCATACCTACTTGGCTAATGGCTCCCAGCAATTCTAGGCACTGGGGATAGAAGATAGAACTAAATAAAGTTCCTTTACATAGGGTGGTCAATGTGGCATTTAATTTGAAGAAGTAAAGAACCTTGTAGATACCTGGGGTAAAGTTGCCAGGCCCAGGGAACAAAATTCCAAAGCTCTGAGGTAGGAACATACTGAGGAGCAACAAGGAGGCCCATGTGGCCAGAAGGCAGTCAGCAAGGGGTGTAACAGGATGAGATAAGAGGTGGCAGGGGGCAGAACATGGGAACAGAGAGGTCACTGTAAAAACTCTGGCTTTTGTCCTGTCTTGGAAAGTCATCAGAGGGTTTTGGATAGAGGTGTGACATGAATTGACTTATATTTAAGTGAAGATGTTCTCGACTTTGTGCTGAAAACAGACAACAGGGCAGCAGGTTCTTGGTCTGGGAGGCCAGGTGGGAGGTTGTTTCAATAACCCGCATGTGAGCTGCCAGTGGCTCCATCAGCAGGTAACTCACCGTGGAGTTTACTGGAAGTGGGAGATGCCGAAAGCAATTAGGACGAAAAGCCAACTGTGAAGGAGAACTCCCCCCACCTCCATCCACCCTCAGTTTGGAGAGCATTTCAGGGCTCATGTTGGCCTCTGTGGGCCTTGTCAACCTGGAACAGGAGAAGAGGCAACCGGCCCTCACGGGAGAGCTCCATGCATTCTAACTGAAATGAGGGAAACCGAGAGGGCTGTGGGCTTACAAATCTTCACCCTATAGTCTAAGGTCCGCACTGTCCGCAGATTTTATGAGGCAAGTTGGGTTGGTCGGAGGAGATGTCTCTGGTTCCAGCTGCATTCCTGACCATCCAGTATACTCTGGGGAGAAGGGATGGAGGAGTCAGGAGGAAAAGGGAAGGAGAAACTCCCCTAAATGTGTCCTGTGCTGGCTCAGAAAAGGGGACAGCAGAATGGAAATCTCCAAAAGCCACTGGACCTTGCTGCCCTAGACATTCCCATGACCACTGGCCAGCCTCCTCCTCTGGGTGTAACCAAACACCACAGTGGAGCCCTACTTAAAGGAAAACACTGCTGCCTTTTTTAGTTCAACACATCATAGCGTGTGGTTTGTAAGCCACATATGGTGCTGGAGATCCAAGAACTAAGGATGAAAGAAAATCCTTGAAGTCTAGACACAGAAACTCTGTGAAGTTATACTTGTCCCTGGTGACTCTGCAAATTGTTAGCTACCTTTTTCTCATGGAGCCTTCCTCTATGTGTCTAGAGTCATATGGTGTCTCTCATTTAATCCTTACAACAACCTGGGAAAGTAGTTCTTGTAACTGTCATCTTAAAGATGAAGACACTGAGGTTCAGAGAGGTCACACTCTGTAGTCCATTGAGTCTGAACCCAAGTTGGTTTGTTCCAGAGCCATCTTAACCATCATACTCACTGCGCCCAGAGGAAAAAAACGGTGAGAGGGAAACACTGAAAGCTACAGTCCCCTCGCCCCACCCTCTGTTCTTCCAGGTAGAAGCACAAGCTGAGAATCCTTCCATTCTATCTCTGGCCTGCAGTCTGCCAGCTGAAAAAAAAAGCGTAGGTATCACTGAACTGTTCTCCATATCAGATGACTATTCTCTCTAAGAAAGAGGTTTATATAAATAATACGATCTTTAGAGATGCACTTCACAGAAGGGGTGACCCTGAAACTCCGAGAGGAGGTTAAGTACACTTCCCAAGGTCACACTGGTGGCAGAGCCAAGGCTCAAAAAGCAGGTCTCCCGCCTCCGGGGCCAGCATTTGGCTGGGCCCCAGCAAGCTGTTCTGCATTATCACTGTCTCTGCCCCCGACATGGATGACTGCCTGAAGGAGGATGATCTCTTTTGTGCACTAGAAATTCCAAGCACAATTTGAACACAGCTGGACCGTTTTTAAAGCAGGTTCTTCTGAGAACATTCTAATCTGCTGGGTTGTCCGTTTTCCTCTGCCATCTCTGTGCCACCCAGGTAGCGTCCTGTGCCCTGTGGAACCAAGTATTTTACTATCGTTCCTGGTAGCCACCAAGTGTGAGGATGGTCCTCTGTCTGGGGCAGATGATTATGTTATAGCAGGTTCCGCTGCAGGACCTGCTATAATTTACTCTGGCCTCCCTCACTAATAGTGACTATTGTAGCCCTCTGGCATCTGGACCCACTCCACTGGCTCATCTCTATATGCAGCACACACCCTTCATGCAGAGGCAGGTGTCCTGAACTCACCCCACTTCTGCCACAGAAATATCCTCCCTGCTCTCCTATGCAAATCCATTCTTTGAGGTATTTCAGCCCCAGAAGGACTTCCTGCATACAGCCCAATAGTTTGCTGTCCAAGTTCTCTTTACATTTCTATTCTCAACCTTGGGTGTTAGTCCTTAGCATGTTTCTTCAAATCCAATGCAGCTTGTTGAGGACAGAAACATAACTGTTCACTCCTTCCCTAGAGAATTTTAAAAGCATCTTATGTGAGATAAAAGAGAAACCTAAACAATGTGCTTCCTGCCTGCAAGGAGGGGAGTTTACAGACATAGTAGGCCTTCAGTCCGGCACACCGTGGGCCCTCAAGTTAGGTTTAACTAACACATAGTATGCCTTGTTGCAATTATTTGCTAAGTCCCATGAGAGGTATCAAGTGGTGTCACAGGGAAAGCATCAGGAAAGCAGTGGCATTTGAACTTGGCTTTAAGAACAGGAAATGTCTTTTCTTTTAAAATAGATCCGGAGGAGGATAGGGAAGAAATGCATTCCTCTGCACAAAGCCAGGCACACACCAGAGACCAGATACAGGAGGAACTGGGAGGGAGGTTCTGTCCTGTCCTAGCACCAATTAGCTGGATGTAACTTCCCTGGGCCTCAGTTTCCTTCACATTTGGAGGAGATTAAACCACAGTTTTGGGAAGAAGCAGATCTGTGTATAACCTTGAGCCAATCAGTTGGGGGTCGGGGGCCTGTCTCAGTTTCCTTCCTATAAAATGGGTAAAGTAATTGCTACCTGCCAGGGCTTTTGTGAGGAACGCATGTAAGTTGCTAAACACGGAGCCTGGAATTATTTTGTTTTCTTCTGCAAAACTAGGGGTGACAACCCTGATCCGTGTTCCTGTCGGTGCGGCTGCTGCTGGCTTCCAGGCACCAATCCTAAGTCTGTCCAAAGTAGGGGCTATGGAAGATCTTGTGACCCTCAAGACAACAGAGTCCAGAGAGCTTGGGCAGAGTGCTGTCCAGGGGCCAGGGGCCAGCGGGCTGGGCTACCAGGGGCGCTCCATCAACGCGTCCCTTGAACAGCCTCCCCTCAGCCCAAGAATCTTTGCCAAACTCTTACCAAACACGCCTCCGAGGCCGGCTGGTTTGGAGACAGCCTCTGCCTTCCAATCCAAGAGGAGAGGCAAGACCCAACCCCGCGGCGGGCTGGGTCCGCGGCTCCCAGAGGGACGGAGCGGGGGTCCGCCGCGGGCCTCGCTCCCACCCCCGGGCTCCACTTCCTCCCTCCGCCCGCTCCGGAGGGGACGGGAGCGGGCTCGCGCCCGGCCCACTGCGCAGGGTCCTCGCGGCTCGCCGGCGCCGCCCGGCCTCCCCGCCCCGGCCGCCCCAGCGCCGCCGCCAGCCCGAGCAGGGGGCGACCCGCCCTCCTCCCCGCGCCCGCCGCCCCCGCCCTCCGCGGCCGCCTTAGCGCCGCCCCGCGGGGCCTCCGCCCGCCGGCCCACGCCCCCGGCCCGCAGGCCCGCTCGGCCGCCCGCCCGGCCCGCCCCCGCTGGGGTCGTGGCGGCGGGAGGAGGGGCCGCGGCGGCCCGGCGTGCGTGGCAGGCTCTCCCGGCTCGGCTCGCGCGGCCTCCCTTCCCGGGAGGCGGGGTCGGCGCCGCGGCGGCGGAGGCAGGCCCCCTCCTCCTTCCTCCTCGGCCGGCCTCCTTCCTCGGCCGCCCGCTCTCTCGGCCGCTCCGACGCCAGCAGCGCCCGCGTGCCGCCCGCCCGGCCCCGGGGGAGCCCGAGCAAGTTTCCGGGCCGCGCGCCCCTCGCCCGCCTCGCCGCCCGCGGCCCCCGCCGCCGCCGCGCCGCCATGCCCTCGGCCAAACAAAGGGGCTCCAAGGGCGGCCACGGCGCCGCGAGCCCCTCGGAGAAGGGCGCCCACCCGTCGGGCGGCGCGGATGACGTGGCGAAGAAGCCGCCGCCGGCGCCGCAGCAGCCGCCGCCGCCGCCCGCGCCGCACCCGCAGCAGCACCCGCCGCAGCACCCGCAGAACCAGGCGCACGGCAAGGGCGGCCACCGCGGCGGCGGCAAGTCCTCGGCCGCCGCCGCCGCCGCCGCTGCCTCGTCCTCGGCGACCTGCTCGCGCAGGCTCTGCCGGGCGCTCAACTTTCTCTTCTACCTCGCCCTGGTGGCGGCGGCCGCCTTCTCGGGCTGGTGTGTCCACCACGTCCTGGAGGAGGTCCAGCAGGTCCGGCGCAGCCACCAGGACTTCTCCCAGCAGCGGGAGGAGCTGGGCCAGGGCTTGCAGAACGTCGAGCAGAAGGTGGGTGCCCCGGCCCCAGTCGTCCCCGGTGCCCTCCCGGCCCCACCTGCCCCTGCCCCTGTCCCTGCCTCTGCCCGGCGGTCCCCGGCCGGACACCCTGATCCGGGCCCCGGCTCCCAGGCGGTCCCAGACCCTCTTTGTTAATGGCCGCAGAGGAATGGGCCCGAGGGATGGACCGCCGCGAGGATGGCCCGGCCAGCAGGGAGGGTGGGCCAAGGGCCTGTCACAGGACATTAGCGGTGACCTGTAAGGAAGCCTGCAGGCTTTGGGGAGCCCATTCTTTTTGGATTAGGAACCGCTGAATGGGCAGAGTTGTCTGAAAAGGAGGTTGGAAAGGAAGCCAGTGCATCCCGGCATCCCGATGAAGCCTCCGGCCACACCTCTGCTCTGCCATGGGAGACATCTGAGCCGGTTTTTAATAGACCCAGAGCTTGGGGAAGGAAAAACTAGTAATTTCTAGTCATTTGCGAAGTTCCACTGAAATATTATCTATCTTTAGGCCCCTTGTTCTTTATTGGGCCAGAGTGCCCTTGTGGGCCTTTGAAATAGCCTACTTCAGCTTTAGAGGAATGAAAGGCCAAAAATATTAGGTCATAACCGAGAAAAGGACTTCTATCTATGTGGGGTTGAGAGGGCTTACTTACCTACCTACTGTCTAATTCTTAGAGCAACCTCGGGAGGGAGGGCTGCTGGTTGTGACTCCATTTTCCAGTCCAGAAAATTGAGACTTAGAGAGAGACAGTGAGTTAACAAACACCCCAGCTGGTGAGCTGCAGATTGCATGAGAAAGTCTGGGCCACTGTCCAGTTAAGGGTTCCCAAGCGCCTATTTCAGGTATGAATGGACCCAGCTCCCAAGGCAAAGTTGCTCAGCTTCCATCCTTCCGTGGCTTTTCCAGACCAAGTGCAACCCCTTCCGTTGAATTTCCCCTCCTCCATATTCCTTCCGTGTCATGCTGAATGGAAAATTGGTTGCAGGACCGAAACAAAAAATCCCGCCACTTGTGAGCCCGGAACCACTGCCTCCTTTTCCCAGCATGCTGCTGGTCCTGCCAAGTCTCTCCACTTTTGTTGAGTGTGCAGGACTAGGAATTTCCTCTTAAGACCGGCAGAGCAACTGGGATGAGTCAGCCTGCTAAATGCTGCAGGCTAAGGGAGGTGACTTTTATAAGGGAATTAAGTAGGCAGTGCTGCTTTGCCTATCCTGAGTGTCACATCATCTTTACAAAATAGACATCCTGCTGGAGTCTAATCACTAGCCCGTTTCTTGCTTTCTGCCACCCACTTGCTAATCAATCATAATATTTATTGAAGTCTGATAGTCATATAGCTCTGTGTAGGCCCGGTGGAAGAGCGAAAGACAAATCATATTTGTGAAGCAGCACATAGGTAGGTGGCAGTCAGGGTCGCCTCTGTGCAGATTGGGAAGAGGGAGGTGTGGAATTTCCCTGGGCCCGTGTCTGGGGTAGAGCCAATCATCTAGTTGGTGATGGCTGAATGTTCAGAGAAGGAATGTGAAGAACTCGCAGGCAAGGAACATTCTTGAACACGTTTAAGGGACAGGAGGTGGCTCCCCTGCCTATAGCAGAGTAGCATTTTAGGAAAAATTAGGGGATGTTGGAAGTTGAGGCCTAAATGGGGACATCTTGAGTCCAGATTGAAAAAACAGGGCTTTGTTTCTTAGGTTTCTTCCTAGTCTCTCCCTTAGTCCCTCCTTTCTGATTCTCACCCCTTCTCTGTCCCAGGTATGTGTAGAAACTTTGCTTTTTAGACCTCAGTTTCCCATCCACACAATGAGAGATTTTTAAGAATCCTCTTGGCTCTGAAGCTGAGGACACAGTGACCACTTTTCTTTTAATTTAGTAGTGTAATTAAGCCATTGTTCAGTGCCTTACATTTATTGTGCGCTTATGTGTCAGACACTGTCCTAAACATAGGAAAATATTTCATCTCTTTTGACCTCACAGCAACTCCAAGAGGTGAGTGCTATTACCTGTCCCGTTTCCCAGATGAGGAAAGTGTGGAGCTACATAACTACATAGTCACACAGCTAGCAAGCAGCCGGGCTGGAGTCACACTGTAGTCTAACTCCTGGGGCACTCAACCACTCAGCTGTTCATTTCATTATATTTCCCTTGCCTTACCTGGTATGGAACGGTACTCAATATGTCCAGTCTTATCAGCATTTCCCAAAGTGTGTGGCCACTTCTTCCTGCATCTTTTATGAGGCCAGTAAGGAAGTTATTTTGTACTGAGGAGCCAGTACTGCCTGTTCTCTGACAACCTAAGTTTGAACCCCTGTATGATTCTTAAGTCTCTGTCGGGGTTGAGTTTTGGTTCTTGGCAGAAAAATGCACTTAGAGTAGTATTATTCATAATTAGTAGTCTCTGTGGGCCAGATATTCCATTAAGTGCTTTTTGGCCACAATTTCATTTCTCCTAGCTATCTGAGGTAGATAGCACTTAGCACCATTTCACAGATGGGGCCATTGAGCCAAGACTGGTTGTGTAACTTATTCCAGGTCATACATGGACTGGTTGTATGACATATTTCAGGTCACACTATAAGTGGGGGATCTTAGACTGGAGTAGGATTTGGTTCCCCACCTGGTATCTCTTGTTTTCCAAAAGTTCATCAGTATGGAAAACTGTCCCAGATCACCTGAATGGACATAGCACAGGAAAAGAGGTTGGCCTGTCCTTACCCAGAAAATTTAGGCACAGTTGGGTCCAGGGCTTTAGAAAAGGTTGGCAGTTGAATTCTGGACCCTCAGAAGAGCTCGTGTTGCCCTCTCACACCCAGGGTGGCAAAAAGTGATCTTAGAAGTAGTTTATGAAAGGAGAAGCTGTTTGTGAGAGAGTCAGTTTTCCGGCCCTATTTCTTGGTTTTCTCATTTTGATTCTGAACCAGTAGTTGGGGCTCTGGGCGTTGGCAGCCTCTTCTCCAGGCCCTCAGTGTGCTTTGAACGTATCTCTGCCTGAGCATGTCACAGTGATTAAGAGCTCTGGTTCTGAAATCGGACATTCTGGGACTTAGATGATGCTCGACCTACCATTCACACTTTGATAGTTACTATACACAGAAATGCCCCGCTGATGTCAGCCATTACTAAGGACAGTTCCTAAACCCCCACTCCTGGCCCAGCTAGGTTCCTGAGGGCAGGGATCCTGGCCTAGCTTTTATTTTATCTCTTGGCTTCTTCCCCAGTGCTCGCCACTTAGTGGGCATCCCACATACGTAGGGAGAACAGGTACATTCAATACCTGTTGATTAATATGTACATAAAGATGAACACAGTACCCTCAGTGTGGGGACATTGTTTTTTTTTAGTTATAGGGGGTTGACTGGCTTGGTTTTATCCATAATTTCTAATCTAATTCCCTTTCTAACCATGTGTCGAGCCAGCCCAGGTTGGGGGTGACATTCAGGAATGGGGAGCAGATCAGCTCTTCATCAGCCTTTGCTCTGAATTCATGCTTTGGATTATTCAGAAAGCACCGGGTCTTGCCTGCCGTGCGGCAAGTGCTGGGCTTGGCCGCTCACACCTCTAATTTGAGTGCTATGCTTAGAACAGGCAGGTACTGTGATTTAATAACCTAGTTTCAGAGTCTAGTTCTCTCTAGTACCTTCTCAAAGTGTCCTTTATGACTCAGGTTGCATTTGGTTGGGCAGAGAAATTGGCTAATATTCTGGAGGCCCTGGAGAACCTTATTCTACTGTCTGAAAATCACAGACTGAATTTAGAAGGGATGTGAGGGACCTATTGTCTAAAAGATGAGGAACCTGGGACTTGGAAAGCTAGTGTAACTGCTCAGAGTGGTTATTGGTGTGACTGGAGCTAGAACCCAGGTGTCCCATTGTGTTTTCAACTATTCTTCCTTTTGACATCAGGCTGCAGCTAGTGCTGTGAATCTTCAGGACTTCTGAATAGAGATGCAACAGGAATAGAGACAGACCTTCACTGTGTTTTAGGCATGACTGAGCACTTTACTTATATGAACTCATTTAACCCTTACTATGACGATCCTGTGAGTTGGGTATTGTTTTTGTTCCCCTCATGCAGCTGAGGAAAACCAAGGCACAGATAGGTTATGTACCATACCCAGGATTACATAGCAGGGAAGTGTCAAAACCAGGATTTGAGCCAAGGCAATCTGGCTACAGAGTCCATATTACTTTATTTTCTAACTTCTTATCATGGTAATGTTCAAGCATAAACAAAAGAGGAGGACAATATAATGAATCCCAGTTTCAATAATTATCAGTATTTTACCATTCTTGTTTCATTTCACCACCTCCCTTCCCCTCCCTCATCTTTTGGTTGGAGTTAGAGCAGCCTGACCCTGAACCCCTCTGTGACCCTGTGGGGGGCACACCTGGCCCCTCTCCTCCATTTGTACTTGGTATTGGAAAATGGCCATAGTACAGGCAGAGGCTAGCCTGTCCTTATTCAGAAGATTGATCTGGAACAGGTGGGTCCAGGGCTTCAGAACATGTTGGTGGTTAAGCTCTAATCCCTCAGAAGAGCCCATGTCACCCTGCAGACCTAGGGGAGAGGGCACCAGGAACTAATTTTAAAATGAGAGACATTAGTTCACCCAAGGTATTTTAGGATTTATTTCTAACCAGTAAGAGTTCCTTTCCTTTTATTTCTTTTCTTCCTTATTTGTTTTAAACAAAACACAGGATATGGCACCATACTGGGGATAGAGCCCAGAGCCTTCCATATGCTAGGCAAGACTACCACTGAGCTACACCCCAGGTGCAGAGATTCTGGAATGTCATACCAGACAATAGTATTGATTCTCCCCAAGACTGTCTTTCTATTGTTGGTTTGAGTCAGGATCCATATGAAATGCACATTTTTGATTGAAAATTTCTTAAACTTTTTAAATGGATGATAAAATGCCATTCATTTGTTCAGTATTGACCAGGGTCATTTATCCTGCACAATTTTCCACATGTGGGTTTGGCTGGTCACATCATGCCATGTCCCTTTCTTGCAGGTCCTGAGAATTGGCTGTTAGAGGTAGGGAATTGATAGATCTTTCTTTCCCTTTTTTCTTTTTCTTCCTTTTTTTTTTTTTTCCCAAACTAAACATTATAGATGGCACCAAATGCTGTGTCAGGATAATGCCTCCTAGGTTCTTAATCATCCTACAGCCTCATTATATATTAAACCAGTTCCCCTGGGTAGTTCTCAGGTCAGGCCTCATTCAGGGTAGAATTTTTTAAGAAGGAATATGTAGAAGCAAAAAAAATCCCAGTGTGTTCACCAAGCCAGAGCCTGCTGCGGGATCAGTTTATTCCTTTGGCAATGGTCTGCAGATGGTGCTAGGGATCTTTGGGCTTCTGAGGTACTTCAGAATAAAGATTAAATGAGGGCCATGGAGGACAATGACTAGTTTAGGGCCACATAGCCGGAAGTGATGAGTTAAGGCCTGGATCCTTGTCTTGATTTCCAGCACAGAGTATCTGTTTCTTTCCTACAAAAACTTGAAGACTCTTGCAGTTGAAGGAGGTAGAAATTTTCCCCTAAGTGGCTTAGAGAGAGAATTGACTGGCTTAAACTGCAAAGTTCAAGAGTAGATTCCTTAAGCTATAGCTGTATCCAGGGATTCAAATGATGTCTGCAAACCTTGGCCATTTCTCAGCTGTGCTGGCTTGATTCCTAGATAGGCATTCCATGTGTTGGTCTACGCAGCTCCAGGCCTACCTGATCCCGTAGCTAACAGTCCCCTTGGAGAAAGTTTTCTTCCCCTGTAGTTTTAACAGAAGTCCTAGATCTGCCTCCTTGGTCTGCCTTAGCACATGTGCCCATGCTTGGCTAGTCAATGTGACTCAGGGTGGGTGGAAAGTGCCCATTGTTCAGGCCAGGGTTATAAGCCATCCCTGGGGCTCTTGGAGGAAGTCCTAAGTTTGTTCCCCACAACTATGACATGGGCTACATGTGAAAGGAGAGTTCTTCAGAGGAGTAGTGTAGTGCCATTCTGGAAGAGTTAAGGGACCTGGAGGCTGGGCAGACTGAAAACAAAGTAGCTGTACCTGTAAAACTCATGACTCTTCTACAGCTAATGTCTGGATTTTGGCTGCAGGTACAGTCTCTGCAAACCACATTTGGGGCTTTCGAGTCTATCCTGAGAAGCTCCCAACATAAGCAAGACCTCACAGAGAAAGCAGTGAAACAGGGGGAGAGTGAGATCAGCAGGATCGGTGAAGTTCTGCAAAAACTCCAGAACGAGATCCTCAAAGACCTCTCTGACGGCATTCACGTGGTGAAGGATGCGCGCGAGCGCGACTTCACGTCCCTGGAGAACACAGTGGAGGAAAGGCTGACGGAGCTCACCAAGTCCATCAATGACAACATCGCCATCTTCACTGAGGTCCAGAAGAGGAGCCAGAAGGAAATAAATGACGTGAAGGCGAAGGTCGCCTCTCTGGAAGAATCCGAGGGGTACAAGCAGGACCTGGGAGCCCTGAAGGCTGCGGTGAAAGAGATACAGACCTCTGCGGAGTCCAGGGAGAGGGACATAGAGGCCCTGAGAAGCTCCCTGCAGACCATGGAGTCTGATGTCTACACCGAGGTCCGGGAGCTGGTGAGCCTCAAGCAGGAGCAGCAGGCCTTCAAGGCGGCCGCGGACTCGGAGCGCCTGGCCCTGCAGGCCCTCACCAAGAAGCTCCTGCAGTCCGAGGAGTCGACCTCCCGCCTCCCGGAGGAGATCCGGAGGCTGGAGGAGGAGCTCCGCCAGCTGAAGGCCGAGTCCCACAGGCCGGAGGAAGACGGGTCCTCCAGAACCCCCGACGCCTTAGATGCGCTCCAGAAAGAGAGTCGGGGTCTGGACTCCAGGCTCCAGAACTTAGAGGATGAAGTCCAATCCGTGCTAGTGGCTTCTGCACGCCAGACCGATAGCCTGGAGTCGCTCCTGACCAAGAGCCAGGAGTACGAGCAGCGCCTGGCTGCGCTGCAGGAGCACCTGAAAGACCTGGGGTCCTCGTCCGAGGCAGACAAGGACAGCCTGGCTGGCACCGTGAGGAGCCTGGGGGAGGCCCAGCTGGCGCTCTACGGCGACGTGGAGGAGCTGAAGAGAAGCGTGGGCGAGCTCCCCAGCACCGTGGAATCGCTGCAGAAGGTGCAAGAGCAGGTGCACGCGCTGCTCAGTCAGGACCGAGCCCAGGCCGCGCGTCTGCCCCCTCAGGACTTCCTGGACAGACTCTCTTCTCTAGACAACCTGAAATCCTCAGTGAGCCAGGTGGAGTCGGACTTGAAAATGCTCAGGACTGCTGTGGACAGTTTGGTAGCCTACTCGGTCAAAATCGAAACCAACGAGAACAACTTGGAATCAGCCAAGGGTCTACTAGATGACCTGAGAAATGATCTGGATAGGTTGTTTGTGAAAGTTGAAAAGATTCACGAAAAAATCTAAGTGAATTGTGTGTCCAGGGCGCGGATTTATAGTCCATTTTGTCATGACCAAAACAATGTGTTGTTTCCTCCCATGTGCCCTCCCCGCAAGTTTTGCCCCCCCCCCCCCCCGCAGAGCAGTGGACACCACCTGAACACCAAGGCATTGCATTCTGTGCCCAGGTAATTTATTTGCAATTCTTACCACACACCATTGGTTTCTTAAGTTCTCTGCTTCTGCTTTTGGTTGTTTCCTGAAGGCCCAGCCCCGGTGCACAAGAGGTGGCTTTTAAAAGGGATGTGTCTAGTGTCAGAAAAATGACAGTGGCTTCAATTGAGGATTAACAGAAGCAGATTAACCTTCAAATACCCTGTCTGGCTGGCAGATTTCAAGTTACCAAAAAAAAAAAAAAAAAAGGGTGGGGGTGGGGCACGTTTCTTTCTAATTGTCTTTAAGAAAGATTACTTTTTTTATACTTCTGGCTGAAGTTTTCATGAGATATCTCTTACTTGTCTTCCACCTAAAACTGGTTAGGACTCATAGATGTAATCTCTGAGTCAGGAGAGGGCAATGCCTTGTCTTCATTTTAAAAGAATCAGTTACTTGCGGGTTGCCTTTCTAGCGTGGGTGTCTTTTCCATTCCTGAACCATCTAATGATATCAAAGGTAACTATGCAAAGAATCAGATGGTTCTGAATGCTAGAGCACACCACCCAGAGTCCTGGTGCCTGTCTGTCTCTGGTGGCCCACCTGTATCCACACTTGGGCAGGTTACCGAATAATGCATAGGTTCAGAGTTCCAGGAAAGTGTCTTTGGGGTCTTTCAGGAAATGTGTTGAGAGCAGTCCACACAGCGGTGGGGTGTCTCCCTGGGGGATGTAGGCCAGGTTTTTTTGTTTTAACAGGATGTCCTTGAGGAGGTCTGCTGTGGGAGCAGACCCCATCTGTCAGTGGGGAGTGTGTGCACTGCATTTCTGTAATTGTTTGCTGTACCCCTTCCCCTTTGAGCTGTATTGTTCTTAAATGGCTGTCTTGCCCTTCCAAAAGAAAAAAAAAGAAAGGAAAAAAAAAGCCGAAAAGTAAAAGTTAAAAAAAAAAAAAAGGTTTGTTTAGTTTACTGTGAAATGAACTGTATGGCTTCTTTACAGTATTTTTAATTCTTAATAAACACTTGAGCTTTGTTATGACTTTTTCCAGAGTGGTTGCTTTCAGAGAATTTAGTAATCATGATATATTCTATTTGCATGTGTATTCAGGATTAGAAAACAGGTAAGTTTTCAATTTTGAGAATTTTTTATTTTCAACTGGAATCAAGACAGCCTCACTGGATCTGGGACATCCTTTCCTGGACTCTTGGCTGGTTTGTTGATAGGTTATTGCTTGTCTCCTACTTTGCTAGTTTCGGCAGAGGATCTCAACCTGACTACCTGTTAGAATCTTCAGGAGAGTGTGGGGGAAAAAAGCCTGGGTTCCCAGGGATTTGGGTTGAATGGTGCCAGCATTCCAACTTGCCTTCAAGGTGGAGAACCACTGTCTGAGACCACCCTACCAACGTTTGGCCCAGAGTACATCAGGGTACATTTCCTTTTATCCCTGGGCTACCATCCACCCACCACCAAAGATAACATACTGTTTATTGAGTCCCTTTGCACAGGTGAGGTGCTGAGCACTATGTAGTCTCCTCCTTCCTCCTTAGAATCCCCAAGGTAGGCAGGATCACTCCCCATTCCACAAGGGCAGCAGGCTGAGAAGCATTGAGCAAGGTCATTAGAAAATGGCAGAGGTGGGCTGGGGATATAGCTCAGTTGGTAGAGTTCCTTCTTTGCATGCACAAGGCCCTGGGTTCAATCCCCAGCATACCACACACACACACAAAAAGTGGCAGGGGTGAGATTTGAATGCAGCCCCTGTTCTCAGGTTACAAAGTGGCTTAATAGATTCTTATTTAATACATTCATAATAATAGTCAAATTCAAATGCTAAAAATAAAAGGAATGTATTATGTATTTCCATATTCTTGTTGGTGGAACAGTTAAAGATAGATCTAACCTCAAATAACAGTTACATTTCAGTCTCATGTGTCTGCTTATTTATTCATGCACTTGACCAACATTGGGCCCATAGCCAGACATTCTGCAGAGCAGTGAATTAAATATGCATGGAACAGGATCCTGCCCTCAAAGGTCTTACAGCCCAGTGGTGGCAGTTGTGAAAATTGTGTCATAAGGAATTCAGGGCTACAGCCAGGAATAATGGGGGTGGTGGTAGTGGCAGTGCCAGGGTTGGGCTAGAGGTGGTTAGAACAGGTTTGCAAAGGACTGTGGGAAATGCCTTGGAATGCTGCTGTGGGTGATGGGGAAGTGCTAGGTAGCTGCCCTTTGAAGAACAGGCAAAAGTTATTGAAGGTGTAGATTTAACTTCCGATCAAGCAATAGGATCTTCAGTGAAACCCACAGCAAGTCTGTCGGCATGCTGGAGATGGTGGTCGTGCGTGGAGATGATGGTAAGAAAGATGGTAGTGGTAGAGATGATGATTATACCTCACAATGTGGTTGTGCTAGTTGAAGGAGGTGGTGGGTGAAGTGGGTTAGCTTAGCCCAGCATCTGGCGCATAATAAGAGTCCCAGGGCTCATGCATGTGCAGTCATACCAGAAGTTAAAAGATTGAGATACTCCTATGCTGCTTGGTGTGTAGCTGCTGCCCTGAGCACCCTGAGTGCCTCCTCTGAACTGCTGGACCTCCTCACAGTCTAGCAGCCAATAGGTCAATAACCCTGGCCCAGCAGGGGGTCCTTAAAAGACTTGACTCCAGTCTCAGGGCAAGCGTTTGTCCTGATGTGTGGGTGCCTACGAGTTCTCAGTGGTTAAATATTTTGAAATCGTTCTTTCTGAGCTCAGAAATCATGTGTGCTTGTGTGTGTATGTGTATGTGTGTGAGATTAATTGTAGTCATTAAAGAAATGACTACATAAAGAGGTGGAGAAACTTGAGCCAGTCCTGAAAGGTAAGCAGGACTTTGAGTAGGCAGGCCATCTCTCCTGGCCAGCAGAATTGGGAGGCTGAGGGCTAGGGCTGGGGCTGGGGCTCAGTGGTAAAGTGCTCGCCTAGCACATGTGAGGCCCTGGGTTCGATCCTCAGCACCACATGAAAATAAATAAATAAAGGTATTGTGCCCAACTACCAAACAACAACAACAACAAGAACTGGGAGGCTGAGGTGAGCACTGAGCCTCCTGACATCCACCTGCCCCCAACCCCTTGCTTTTTCCCAATTCTACCCACAGAGTGGAGGTGGCCTGGAGGGCTGCTGGGGCCAGGACCTGGAGGCCTGTGTGTCATCCTTTGGATCTTATTCTCTGATGACAGAAAATCACTAAAGAGTTTTAAGGAGGGTGGGGAGTAACTGTGCTCTGACCTGGATTTTAGACTGCCTCCCTAGCCCTGTGGCAGGACTGGAGGAGGTCAAGACGGGTGGACACTGGAAGACCTAGGGCTTGAGCAAAGGGCCTGAGGGAGGGTGTCGCAGAGGAATTTCAGAGCCCAGTGTGTCTGATGCTGCGGAGTGCGCATGGGCTGAGGAGGGAGAGGAGACTCAGCTAATGGCCCTCGTGGATTAGGAGAGGATGTAAGAGGGCAACTGGTGGGAGGCCCAGGTCTGGAGCTCAGTTGGGAGGCCTGCCTTCAGAATTACTCATCCATATTCACTGTTGGTTTTTTTTTTTTTTTTGGGGGGGGGCGTTACCAGGGATTGAACCCAGGGTGCTTAACCACTGAGCCACATCCCCAGCTCTTTTTTATATTTTATTTAGAGAAAGGGTCTAGCTGAGTTGCTAAGTACCTCCCTAATCTACTGAGGCTGTAATAGGAGCCCAGCTCCTATTCACTTTTAAATTAAGGAAGCAGAAGAAATTGCCCAAAGAATGTAAAGGATATATGAAGAAAAGAGATTCTTGAGAGAATGATCAGAGAGGGAGGAAGGAAAGCAATGGAGGTCATGTTAAGGAATCAGAGGTGGAGGAAATTTCCAGGGGACACCAGTCAACGGTCACAAGCAGGAGTTCTGATAGCTCACCAGCCTTTACTAGGTAACACATATATTTTTTAAATTCTTATTTTATGTTAATGAACCTTTATTTTATTCATTTATTTATATGTGGTGCTGAGAATTGAACCCAGTGCCTTACAAATGCTAGGCAAGTGCTCTGAGCCACAACTCCAGCCCAATAAAGCTTTATATTAAAGTTTCCCTAGTCAAATTACTAATTTGATTTTTGCTTCCTGACTGGACCCTGACTCACATAGAAGGCTTTCAATGGGTAAAGTATTTTTTTTTTTTTTGGAAACAACAATATGCCTGACCTCCTGGTTTCCAGCAAGATCTGTACCATATCTGATATGGCTCAGAGCCTGGCCTGGAGTAGATACTTAAGAAATTGGGGGACTTGGGGTGACTTTGCAGAGCTGACCCCTTGAAGAGTTGTCATTTCTTCCTACTACCTCACCTGCTGCGAAGTCAGTAGCCACTACCGTGCCTCAGTCAGTATGTGGAGCCCAGTATTTGGTCTTTCTTTGGATGTCTGGGTAAGACCTTGCAGTGGCCAGAGTGTGATGTTAAGCAAGGCCATCCTTTAATTTCTGTATCTTATTTTCCTCATCTGCAAACTGATGGAATTTCCCAGACCAGTGGTTCTCAAGTTTTAACTTGCTTAACAGATTGCTGGGCCCACCTCTCCTGAGGTTCTAGATCAGTAGATCTGGATGGGGGGAGGGGCCATCCAACAATTTGCATTTCTAACAAGTTCCAGATCAACCTGATACTGCTGGGCTGGGATCGCAGACTTAGAACCACTGGACTAGATGTTTCTAATATTAAAATTACAGGGTAAGACTAAAGTTCTGTGCACCAGGTACCTTTTGTTTTTACCTGGAGGGAAGAGGCAAGGGAGAGGCAGCTATAGGCAGATAGCCTGAAAAGAAATATCAAAATTGCATTTAAGGAGTTCCACCTTTAAAAAAATTAAATTAAATTATATATATATATATATATATATATATATATATATATTTTTTTTTTTTTTTTTTTTTCGTAACAAGGATCAGTGTGAATGAATACATCGAATGAGTTTTTACTGCAACATAAATGCTCAAACAATGCAAAGTCATTTTCTAGACTTCTTGAATATGCTATCAAGTAGTCTGCCACCAGGGCAATATTAATCCCCAAACCTCTGTGCTTAGCCCAGTTATACCTCCGTTTGTCTACTCATATCTGGATACCTCCTCGCAGCCCATCTTACTTGGTTCCAGACAGAAGTTGCTTCCTTTTCCAGCCCCTCGTTGCTTAAAGCAGGAGCAGGGGAGTCACCTCGGACTCCTTGAATTTCCCCTTTTCAACATCCACGAAGGTTGAAGCCCTGACACATCCACCACCATCCACCACCTCTCCTGCCAGCCTCACTCCACTAGATGGGCCTACATTCCAGCAGCAGCCCCCTCTCGGTGCTTCCTGTGGGTCAGCTGAGATCAGGACTGTGGTTCATGCACTACTCACTGCTCCTTCAAGAGTATTCAGAGAGCTCTGCTCTTTGCTGGACACTGAAGAGGTGACCAAGAGCAAGACAGGGCTCCTGCCTTCATGGTGCTCATGGTCCAGCTGAGAGACCAGTACAAACATGGAAACAGAAGTGTAGAAATGGCAGTGTGTGCTGGGGCATAGTCTCCTTATGACCTTCTTATCACTAGCCTGGTTGACATTCAGGGAATCCTCCATGGTAACCAGTGTGATCTGCTTGTGTCCCCTTCCCGCTGGGTCTTTTGGGTCTTACCTTTGGCCTCTGAAGTGGCTCTGTGGTTTATTAAACAGTTACTATTCCATGGTTCTAAATGTTTCACAGGGATTAATTTACTTGATTCTTACGATGGTCCTGAAGGTAAGAAATTTGTTTAAAGTACTCATCACAGCTAGTAAGTGGTGGAGTCAGGTTTAGCACCCAACAGCCTGAGTTTAAAAAAAAATCTGCGTTCCATAGTGCTCTGGAATTGGTTTCTTTCCTTCATTTAAAAAGAAACAGTACTGTTATGGTTTGCATCTTTAATGTCTCCCAAAGCGCCTGTGTTCTTGCAGGAATGTTCAGAGGTGAAATGATTAGAGATCTGTAACCTCAGGGGTGGATTAATCTATTAGATGG